AATGCCAGCTAGTAATAGATTCTTTCCTAGTGCTGTTAGAAGGAGCAATGCCTTGGTGACACTTTGATTTAGGATGTTTGGCCTCCGGAACTGTGAGGAAGTTTGTTTTTAGCCACCAAATTTGTAAAAATTTGTTACAGCAGCCCTAGGAACTAATAAATGCTGTTTAAATACCCCTATCTTTTTAATCAGAAATACATGAACAACATATGAGAGCTCAGTTAACACCAAGGTGCACAATCATATAAGAAAAACAGGAACAAAAATATTTGTATTATTAGAAAGGTATGTGGAGAAGTATTTCAACAGCATGTATTTGAAAGATGCCTTGTGGCTTTGCAGCACCTGATTTTGAAAATGAACTGAACACTGGCTCTGAAACAGACTTTACAGTTACTGGATCATCCATGAGCACACCCACGCTGGTCTTTGTTACCACAAATGTATCTTGAAAATGCAAACCACACAGATGGTTACCTTCTCCTTATACCATTACTTCAAATAATTAATAGATTAAGGCCTATCTGGAGAAGATCTAAATTCATTTTTGAGAAGTGCAATCCATAGACCTGGTAAGTAGAGGATGGTTATTTTCAAAACTACCTTATCTTCTTGGATTAGTAGTCAATTCATCACCAAGAAGTACATATAGATACAAATTATGATGGGTCTTGAGAATGAAATTACTGCTGGTCTTTAGCATAAGACAAGTAGAGGGGAACATACCTTTTTCTTGCCACCATGCTGCTATATTCTAAGGCTGTAGATGACTATTTGCTGCTTCACTGCCCTTGCCTTTGTTAACAGCAATTCTTTGTACTCCAACCCTTCGCCTCTCCTCCCCCAGCCCACTCAGGCCAATTTCTTTCTCCATGTTTAATCCTTATAAAGATAATTTCATTTACTCTTCTGGTTTCTTGCCTCTTGTATATCTATGACTCCAAAGTCGAACTGTTAAAATCCTCCTCTTTTCAGGAGATACTAAAATATTTCACTTGTCATAAACTTCATCCTACCAAAAAGTTCTTTCACTCATGCACTAAAAACCACAATTCTTTGCCTGCTTCATCATCACTGGTGTTCAGTCTCTCTGGTTCTGCTAAGATAACCAGATACTTCACTCTTTCATTCAGCTCCTACAATTCTCCAGTTACTCCTTGTTAATACTTCTGTGGCTCACCTTTTTACCACAGCTCCAACCAAAACACCCTAACAATTTCAGGCTTACAGATCCAAGCAGCCCACAAGCTGGCTGGGTATACTCTGCTCTACCATTACTCTGCAGTCACCTCTTTCACAGCTGTCAAAAATCTGTTAGTTCAGTCCTATTACTCCCTGGAGTAGTATGACACATATGTCAGTGCCTGGAACATAGAAGACACATATGTATATATAAACAGATATGGTTTAGAACCGTAGAGCAGCTCCTTGGTAACTACCCACTCTATACAATACCCACCTGATTGTACTCCATTTCCAGTATGGAAAGATACATGCCAGCCATGTATTTTTCTATCACTGGCTGTTTTGCTCAATCTAATATAGACCTGAGTAAAGCTAATACATAAACAGTCCATACATTTTAAAACAAAGCACAATTTTTACTGTCACTTGCATTCATATGCATCAATTATCTGTGGTTAGATGTAATTATTAGATTTTCACTTTATATTTTTTGACTGGTCTTCCCTACAATCACTGCATTAGCACCTTGCCAGCAGGGATTGGGTCTATCATTTACTTTTTGCTACTCTCCTTTGCCCCAAGAATGGCACATTGCACTTTGAAAAGTCTGGTAGTAATGATTTCCTGTTCTAATTTAGTGCTCACAGGGGACATAAACTACTACATTATATACAGAATTTAAATAGGTGACAAAAACATTAAGGGCTTTGATCTCTCCCTATTTAAAACCTGCTGTGACCTTTTGACTTAAGTGACTAATGTATAATTCACTCTATGATCTGTGCTGCTTCGCTTAAAAAAAAAAACAAACCTCCATTTTGACCCATATGCTGAATCTGGCTAATTATCTCACTTATGCCAAAATAGAACTCAGGTAAAACTAGGTTCATGATACAAACATTGCACAACCTTTCAAACTAATCAGAATACAGATTACTGCCTGTTAAGTTTTAAAAATCTTTGTACTAAAAATGATAGCATGCCTTCTAAGATGATTGATTATACTGTCTCAAATGGAAAGCTCTAGGTTTAAGATTGTTTCCAATTGAGCTTTTGTTCATTTGCCAGCTTTTCTTCCCCCAGGTAGAACCTAAGCTCCAGCTGAGCAAACATCCCTCCTGTATCCCTAGGATAGTGAACAGTGGCTGGAGCATAGTAGACACACAATACCGAATACAATCTCTTGGTTCTTAGATACAAAAAATCAGGTAGTTACCCCTAAAATTCTGGATAAAGTCTTGAATTCTTAAGGTCAGTAATTAACAGGCTACCAGGATATTTTAAGGGAGCAGGTTCCAAGTATGTGCAACATGTGGAATACTTAAAAAAAAAATCTGCATTTGGAAAAGACCTATTTGGCAATAGGTATTTTTCTACCTTTCAAAGGTAAACTAACGTCAAGCCTACAAACTTGCTTCATTAATAGGTTTAATTGGCACTTTTGACAAGTATCATCAATATCCCAACAAAGACTCAACACATTTTCCCTCCAATAGTCAGTTAAGGGAACATGAAGTTTAGCTCTACTCTCAATCTATTATACCTCTCTCATGCATTCATGAAATACCAGGTTTACTGATGCACTGCAACAAATTTTAGAACAGATTAAAAAAAAAGTTGAGTCCTATAAATCAGCTTGTTAAGGCTCCCCATAGTTTAAGCCTACAAACAAACAGTAAGATTTCTAAGATAAGGCTAAACTAGTATTACAAAATACTGTTTACTCCTTTTTCCATTTCTAAGATTTAAAAAAGGGGCAGAAAAATGGAGATTAAATTCCATGAAGACACAGACTAAAGTAAACTATTAAAAAAATGTTCCAGTGATGAGTTTTGACACCAAGTTTGCTGCCCCACAGCTAAAGATTAGAAAGGCAAAGCAAAAAATTATTTTCATAAATGGAGGTTTTAAGACATTCTACTCATAATACCTATATGTAGTAAAGATTATATATTTAGGAAAAAAGTTGAATCAACATGAAAATCAGAACATAATTTTTTTTAACTTTTTAGATAAACTAAGTGAAATATCACTCTGGTTTTCTCCTAAAATTCATGTTTCTCCAAGTATTGGGGACATAAAAAGGAACTCATGGCTTTTTGACTGAATTATTTTAGTATTTTCCCAGAAAACTCCATCTTCCTATGTTTTGCATTCCCAAGTTAGTTACTATTTTGTATGGGAGACAATGGTGCTTTTTGCCAAACCACAGCCCTACTTCTATGAGCAAAACACAAAGTTAAAAAAAGCAAATACTGGCCAAGATGGTGGCACTGGCATTTACTTCACTCTCTTAAGCTCCTATGAAGTAGGTGCTATTATCATTCCCATTTTATAGGTCAGGAAAATAAGGCACCTAACGAGGTTCATGTGCCAGGCAGTAGCAAAGTTTAGGAACCCAGGAAATCTGGTTGTAGAGCTTATATTCTTATTAACTAGTGAACCTTCCATTTTGTATACCCTTAACAGTTACCTGTATTAACGTGTTGTTTCCCACCACATCAGTGGTTCTTAACTGATTCTGCCTTAAAAAAATCCTTCCCCATCCCTGAATGTAACTGGAGGACATCTGGCAATGTCTGGAGACAGTTTTGTCTGTCACAGCTTGGGGATGGTGATGGTAGTACTGGCATCTACTGGGGAGATACCAGAGATGTCGCTAAACATCCTAAAATGCACAGGACAGTCCCTGAACAACTCATTATTCAGTATTAAACATCCGCAGTGCTGAGGTTGAGAAACCCTACAATACAGTATCAATTCTAAGAGGGCAGGGTCCTAGGTTGATCTCAGCTGCTGCTCTATCCTCAGACTTAGAATAATGATTGACAGAGAAATACTTAAATTTATATGTTGAATATTTATGTTTTTAGGAGCCTAGAATCCAGCCTGGTATATAGCTGGCAGGCAACAAATAGTTGAAGGTAGCTGAATTAATGGCAGTGCCCTCCAAGAGTATCAAATGGATGTAACAGGACACAGTGAACTGGACTGATTTTAGTGCTGCATAATCCAACTTTTGGGGGGTTTATTTCTCCTAATAACTATAAGTAAGTTCTGCCAAGATAAGTCTTAGTTAAATGGGGTTTTTGAGAAAACATTTTTCTTTAGATACTTGGAACGTTTAAATACATGAACTCTGTGGGTTAAATATGTAAAGAAATAAGACCTTTTCTGCTTAAAATGAAAGCCTTAAAATGTTCCATTCAAATAGCATGTATTAGGGGATTAACACACCTCTAAATTCAATGGCATCACTAATTAACTGCTGTTACGCTCTTGTGGGTGGCAAATACTTTGAGAAAGTTTAAGGTTTACAAATTTCAGAAAATAAATGAAATTATTACATGCATAAGACAAAGATGAATCTATTACCTAAAAATAAAGTAGTACCTGAGCTCACGTCAAAGATTTTTATAACCATATTCTTAAGTATAACTTTATCCTATATTTAAAAAAACCCTAAATATAACACCTGTCAAAGTATTTTCAATTCCTTTTATACCTGTAAGAGCTATTGCACACTACCCAGAATGTGTATATTCTTAAGTAATACCACCTCATTTACAACCTCCTTTTTTCCAAAGGAAAATTCAAAAGGTGGTTATGTGGATGGATTTTCAAACAATAGTAGGGAAAAATATCTGTGACATCTTTCACTCATCATTTCTGCAATGAATGAATATGGCTTGCCCAAATGTTAAATTATAAAACCACACTATGTAAAATGTACCTATTACATTTAAAAAGACATTAAACCCATATTTATTTACTATCACTGTCAAACATTACACAAAACACATTCAAGTGGCAAGTAATTATAATGCAAGCCCTTGCATGGCAATCCAAATTTATTGAACTACTGATGCTAAGTTATACAAAATTGCACCACTTTAATTAAGGCTTTTAGTTTACATTTGGCCACCTCAAAGTAGTTGTAACATTAGGTTGGTCAATTTAAATACTGTGGCTCCCTGTTGGATAGACACACAATCTTTACACCCAAACGTTAATGCATACAAAGCAACAAGGCATTGTTAAATAAAACAGCAATAGTTACTGCAACTTAGGCCTTGTGACCAATTACACATGATTAAAATTACTTTCCACATTCACATCCACAGTACTCGTCCACCATTTAACATCTCAACCGAAACGTTACACATGTGAAACAATCACTAACAGGCAAAAATACTAAACCTGTATATTTGGTATTGCAAATACACTTATGCATGAGCAAGCAAGGGATTCACAGTGAGAATCTACAGCTGCAGAAGCCTGAAAATGATTTACAAAAACTGTTAAATCATTAAAAAATTGTTTGAAAATATACACTTCTTGTTGTAGACCCCCACTGTACACACAACTATAAACATTGTTCCCTATGTAAACAAAAAAGGAAACATATAATAAGAGATTTGAAAAGTCTGGACATTTCCTTCCCAACAGATATTAAAGGCAACGTCTTTAAATCTAAGACATTATACTGAAAGGACTATCATATTTTAAAGACAAGATCACTGTCTCCACAGGTTTTTTTAAAAATTAAAAAAACTATATAGCTGTGTTAATCAAAGCGCTTATTTATACAATACAATGATAATGACCTTGAATTTCTTAAAAAAAATTACAATAAGCTACAAGTATCAAAGAAGCGAAGTTATCTGGAGTAGTCTATATAGGAGCTCTTTGGACTTTCTTTTATTATGCTAAAATAGTGGTGCTTTTAGGATTTACATTATTGTTCTCTCCAATACAAAGTATGGGGTGTGTTAAAGTATTTTCATACATGTACAACATTGGTGGATGAAAAATGTCTCTTAGCAGTAATACTGGATTGTAGCCTCTGGTTTTACCAGCTGCATACTCTTGGACTATTATATAAGTAAAAATCTCTCGTGATACTGGAAAGTGATTAGAATGTGCAAACTGATGTAGTAGCTTTCATCCGCCTCTTAAAGGGTACCACCACAGAAAGTCCATTTAAGATGTTGGTAGGTTTAACAAAGTTGGAATGCTGGCACTGTTGAATTGGGCAACAGTTCTTCAGACCTGTCAAAAGAGAAAAATTAAATTAACTGAATACATGGGTTGATATTATCACACAAACGATGCAAAGGAACACATTAAGACAACAATGATTAAGTGCTGGTAAGGAGTTTATACAGGCTCTTGTCTTCTTCATTACAGTAATGAAAATGTACCACAATTCACAGCAAAGCAAAGCATGGAGAGACAGTCTAACCTTTTTTGGAATGATTTTTTTTCATCTTTTCTGTTGCTCTTTGAAAGTCAGTCAAATTAAAGTTTTAGATACAAAAAGGGAACTGTATCCTAGCGTAAAGTCCTGTTTATGACTTTTCAAAGAGGAAAAAAACTCACAAAAACACTACATCAAAATTTTACATTAGGTCTTTATTAAAACTTTATTAAAATCAGAATTAAAAGACAGTACTATTAACCATATGGGTGATACTATAAGAGTGTTTTTTCCATCTCAGAATTACGTACATATAGAATACACATCTAATGAGGGTTTTTAGTGTCAGAAAAGCCAAGACCTTTCTTCCTTACTCTTCCAATAAGAGAGGCTAAAAAGCTGTTTCAAAGAAGAAGACAAAGTAGAATTTATTTTATGGTGGCTCTTCAGAGCTGACAGTTACATACTTTCTAATTCCATATTTAAACAGATCTGTCAATTTTTAAGACGGATGACAGAAAAAGCTGGTATTAGAAGGGGAAAAAAGATAGTGGAGTAGGAAGGCAAGGTGGAAACCCCCTCCCACACACACCAAGGAAGCAGCTACAGCAAATACAACTCACCCTGAAAATAACCTGAAGACTGCAGAGTAGACAACCTACACTTGGTGAAGAAGGGAAGAGCAAACAGAGAGAAGGGAAAAGTGGAAGAGCCCTGATCAGTCGGGACCCCAGCCCTTCCCCCATCCAAGCCCATAAGTGGGAAGCAAGGGGTTGGAAGGGGTAGGCAAGCAGGAACTCTGCACATGTGGCCCTGGAGACCGGCTCTGGGAACACGAATCCAAACTGTACTAGGTTCTGGTGATTAGTGGGGCTGAATACTAGGGGAGTCTAAACACTCTGGGAGGCTGAAACTCTAGTTGCTCATGGAGGACAGGCCTGCTCAGCAAGTCCCACTGAGACCCAGAACAGAGGCAGCAGTTTGAAAAACTTGCCAGCAGAGGGAGGGGTACCAGAGGGGTGAGGGTTGGACAGAGCTTTCATCACAGGAGAGGGAATGTAGATGATAACTCCTCAGTCCTCCCTTAGCCCAACAGGTTGGGCACTCCTGGAAGCACCAAATGCTCCATTCCCTCACTGGTGGCTCAGCCCCAAGGTGCTTCTCTGCTCATCGCCAGTGCACTCAGCCCAACAAAGTTGTATTTTGCTGCCTGGCAGGCAGAGGGAGGCTTTCCCAGCTTTCTCAACTCTGTCTTAGTCCAACTAGGGAGGCACCTGCAGGAGTGAGCTCCAAGTGCTCCTTCCTCCTCATGGGCGGCCCAGTCAGGTGCCAGTGTGCCCTGCTACCACCAGGCAACCTCGTAACTTGCCACTGTGTACCTCCCCCAGCACAGCATGGCTGTCCTGCCCACCCCATTAGCACCATCACTCTGCCCCTGCAGGACAGGCAGAGGGTGGCTCTGCCCACAGTGATCCCAGCAGAAGTGCAGTTGCTCTGGTCACAGAGGACTGGCTGAGGTAAACTGCCATCTGCTGCGGACTGAGACAGACCACTGCCAGAGGACAGTCAGAAAGGTGGCCCTGCCCACAGCCCACCAACAGCAACTGGGGCTCCACCAGAAAGGAGAATCAGGCACTGGAGAGTAAAGAGTGCTGAGCTTCTGGGCACCACAGAACTCCTTCTTCATAAAGCCATTATTCTCTAGACCAGGAAGCATTAACAAATCCATCTAATGCAAAGGAAGGAACACAGAAACCCTGACAAAATGAGGAGGCAAGGGAGTATGTTCCAAACAAAATTACAGGGTAAGACACCAGAAAGAAGGCTAAATGAAATGGAGATAACCAATCCTCTTCATAAAGATTTCAAAGTAAGAGTCATAAATATGCTCACTGATCTGCAGAAAAGCACTGACAATCTCAGGGTAGACTTCAACAAAGAGAAGAGCTGAAAAAAAGGTATTCAGAGCTACAGAGAGAAAAAATAATCTCTAGGAATGAAAGTATGCTGAGAGCTGTGTGACAACTCAAAATGAAACAATATTTGCATAATAGGGATACCAGAAAAGAAGAGAGAGATAAAGGGATAGAAAACCTCTTTGAGGAAATCATTGTTGAAAACTTACCCAATCTGGGGAAGGAAATAGATATCTAGGTCATGGAAGTACAGAGAGACCCTAATAAAAGGAACCCCAGGAAGACAACACCAAGAAATATAGTAATTAAAATGACAAAGATTAAGGATAACGATAAAGTATTGAAAGCACCCAAAGAGCGAAAAAAGACTTTGTGAGTGAAACCCCATCAGGTATCAGCAGACTTCTCAGTAGAAACTTTACAGACCAGAAGGAAGTGGCATGAAATATTTAATGTACTGAAACAGAAGGCCCTTCAACCAAGAATACGCTATTCAGAAAAATTATTATTCAAATTTGATAGAGATTAAACATTCCCCAGATAAACAGAGGCTGAAGGAATTATAACCCTAAACCAACATTATAGGGTATGTTAAAGGGACCTCTGTAGAGGGAAATGTTCTTAAACTTAAATAGTTTCAACAGTGAAAATAAACCCATATAAAGATAGTAGACCAATTACTTACCAAGCAATACGAAATTAAAAACAAATGTGGTAAAACCAATTATAGACAAATCCGTCAAGGGATACATATACAAAAAAGGCTGATTATGACATCTAATAAAGTGTGGAAAATAAACAATAATAAAAAAGAAGTACTTTTACACTGTGCTTGAAATAGAGCAATTATCAACTTAACATTGAATGTTATACAGTTAGGAAGCTATCCATGAACCTTACATTAACCACAAACTTGAAGCCTGTAATAGATACACAAAATATTAAAAAGGAGAAATCCAGCTCTTAAGAAAACCATCAAATAACAAGACAAGGGTATAAGAGAGGAAGAAAGGAACAGAAAAGAACTACAAAACAACCAGAAAAAAATTAATGAAAGGATATAACCATTTTAAGTATCTATGCATCCAACATAGGAGCACTTAAATATGTAAAACGAATACTAACAGAAGTAAAGGGGGAAACAGACTAGAAGTCATTCATTGTAGGAGACTTTTAACAACCACTCATAGCAAAAGAAAGATAAACCAGACAGAAAATAAAGAAACAGAGACATTGAACAACACAACGGATCAGATCAGATGGACTTAACAAATATCTACAAAACATTCCACCCAAAAGTAGCAGGATACACATTTTTTCAAATGGACATGGAATATTCTCCAGAACAGATCACATACGAGGCCACAAAAAGAACCTCAATAAATTAAACAAGACTGAAACTGTACCAAGCAAAACTTCTCATACCACAATGGTATGAAACCAGAAGTAAATTACAAACACACATACAAAAGCCTACAAATACATGTAGGCTAAACAACATGCTTCTGAATAATCAATGGATCAATGAACAAATCAAAACAGAAATCATGCAATACATGGAGACAAATAAAAACTAAAATACAGCAGTCCAAAATTTGTGGGATGTTGCATAAGCAGTTCTAAGAAGGAAGTACATAGCAATACAGGCCTACTTCAAGCAACAAGAACAATCCCAAATAAACAGTCTAAACTCACAACTAAAGAACCTAAAAAAGAATAAATGAAGCCCAGAGTTAGTAGAAGGAGGGATATAATAAAGATCAGAACAGAAATAGACAAGAATAAAACAACAGAAAAAAAAAAATCAATGAAACCAAGAGCTGGTTCTTTGAGAAAATAAGACAAATCCCTAGTCAGACTTACCAAGAAAAAGAGATGCACAAATAAACAAAATCAGTAACAAAAAAGAAGTTAAAATGGACACTACAGAAATACAAAGAATTATTAGAGAATCCTATGAAAATTATATGCAATATATTGGACAACCTAGAAGAAACGGACAAATTTCCTAGAAAAACACAACCTTCCAAGACTGATCCAGAAAGAAACAGATAATCTGAACAGACCAATTACCAGTAACAAAATTGAACTGGTAATCAAAAAACACCCCAAAATAAAAAATTCAGGACCAGATGGCTTCAGAACTGAATTCTACCAAACATTTAAAGAAGAGCTAATACCTATTCTTAGAGTATTCCAAAATGTAGAAGAGGAGGGAATACTTCCAAATCCATTCTATGAGGCCAGAATCACTCTAATACCAAAACCAGACAAAGAAACAATAAAGAAGAAAATTACAGAGCAATATCCCTGATGAACATAAATGCAAAAATTGTCAACAAATATTAGCAAACCAAATAAAAAAATACATTAAAAGGATTATCCTTCATGACCAAGTGGGATTTATTCCAGGGATGCAAAGATGGTACAATATTCATAAATCAATCAATGTGACACTACATCAGCAACAAAAAATGATAAAAAACATATAAACATCTCAATAAATGCTGGAAAAGCATTTGACAAAATTCAACATGCATTCATGATAAAAACTCTCAACAAAATAGGTAGAGAGAACATACCTCAACATAATAAAGGCCATATAAGATAAACCCCCAGCCAACATCATACTCAATGGTGAAAAGCTGAATGCTTTTCCCTTTAAGACTGGAACAAGACAAGAATGCCCATTATCACCACTTTTATTCAACATAGCACAAGAAGTCCTAGCCATGGCAATCAGACAACACAAAGAGATAAAAGGCATCCAAATTGGTAAGGAAGAAGTAAAATTGTCACTATTTACAGATGACACTATACTATATATAGAAAACCCTGTAGACTCCACCAAAAAACTATTACAACTAATAACTGGATTCTGCAAAGCTGCAGGATACAAAATTAATACATAGAAATCTGTTGTGATCCTCTATACTAATGATGAACTAGTAGTAGAAAGAGAAATCAGAAAAATAATTCCATTTACAATTGCATCCAAAGAATAAAATAGGAATAAACCTAACCAAGAAGGTGAAATACCTGTATTCTAAAAACTATAGGACATTCATGAAAGATAAAAGACAACACCAATAAATGGATATCTATCCCATGCTCATGGATAGGAAGAATTAACATAGTCAAAATGGCTATCTTGCCCAAAGCAATTTACAGATTCACTGCAATCCCTATCAAAATATCAAAGGAATTTTTCAATGAACTAGAGCAAACAATCCTAAAATTCATATGGAACCCCAAAAGATCCAGAATAGCCAAAGCAATCCTGAGAAAGAACAACAAAGCTGGGAGGATAATGCTCCTTGATTTCAAGTTATACTACAAAGCTACAGTAATATAAGCAGTATTGTACTGGCACAAGAATAGACCCATAGATCACTGGAACAGAATAGAGAGCCCAGATATAAACCCACACATATATGGTCAATTAACATATGATAAAAGCAGCTATGAATGTACCATGGGGAAAAGACAACTTCTTTAATAACTAGTATTGGGAAAACTAGATGAAACTAGATTATTGTCTAACCCCATACACAAAAGCAAACCTGAAATGGATCAAAGACTTGAATGTAAGACAGAAACCATAAAACTCTTAGAAGAAAACACAGGCAAAAAATTTCTTGAACATTAGCATGAGTAACTTTTTCCTGGACACATCTCCTCAGGCAAGGGAAACAAAATAAAAAACGAACAAGTGGGATTACATCAAACTAAAAAGCTTCTGTTCAGCAAAGGACACTATCAGCAGAACAAAAAAGGCAAACTACAGTGTGGGAGAATATATTCATAAACAATTAATCTGATAAGGTGTTAACATCATATTAAGAACGTGCACACCTCAACACTAAAAAAACAAATAACCTGATTAAAAAAATGGGTGGAGGATCTGAACATTTTTCCAAAGAAATACAGATGGTTAATGGCACATGAAAAGATGCTCCACATTACTAATTATTAGGGAAATGCAAATCAAAACTAAAATAAGGTATCACCTTGCACCAGTTAGAAAGGCCACTATCCAAAAGACAAGAAATAACATGTTGGTGAGGAGGTGGAGAAATTCTACATGCAGTCACTGTGGAAAGCAGTAGATTCCTCCAAAACTAAAAGTAGAAATACTACACAACCTAGCAATTCCACTTCTAGGAATTTACCTAAAGAAACAAAATACCCAAGTCAAGAAGATATATGCATCCCTATGTTTAGAGTTGCGTTGTTTAGCCAAGTTATGGAAGCACCTAAGTGTCCATGAGCAGATGAATAAAGATCATGTGGAATACACAATAGAATATAATTCAGCCATTAAAAAAAGAAATCCTGCCATTTGCAACAACATGGATGGATCTGGAAGGTATTATGCTAAGTGAAACAAGCCAGGCAGAAAAAGACAAATATCATGTGATTTCACTTATTTGTGGAATATAAAAACAAAACACAATGAACAAAATAGAAGTAGACTCAGACACTGAGAAGTGACTAGTGGTTACCACGGGGGAGGTACTGGGGTGGGTGAGTGAGGGGGATAAAAGGGCTCAAAACTTGTCAATCGTAACATAAGTTGGTCACGGGGATGGTAGTACAGCATGGAGAATGTAGCAAATGATTCTGTATATCTGTTTTGACAGACAGCAACTCTGCTAGTGGGGGGTGAGGATTTAATAATAGGAGTAACTATTGAACTACTACGTTATATACTTGAAACCAATATAAGATTGTATGTCAATGATACTTCAGTAATAAAAAAAAGCTGATATTCACTAAAATCATATTAAAGTTAAAAAAAATTGTGAGTGATATATAAAACAAGTAAAATCAGAACTCACTGATGTCAAATATTTATTTGGATGCTTTTCTGCAAACATTCCTGGGCTAAAAAACTGTTTTTCTGGGGATTAGACTTGTTGTAAGCTCCAGGAACATTGTTAATACAATGTGGCTACTGAATTAACTTTCACAAATGCCTTGAACTTAAAGCCCTCATTTAGAGTCTGAATGAGTTTGCTAAAGTTTCTAAATCCTAGCTGACTGAAATATAGTAAATTGGAATGAACAGATTAGAGTCTCATACACATGTGTGAGCTCATACACGTGTGTGCTGCTAAGAATGAGCATGTGGTCAGGAATGAGAGGATGTCAGAAATTAGAGGATGTATCTCTAAACAGAGAGCCTTACAAGGAGAATAGGGATAAAAACTCTTAAAAATATACAGCATCGTAGTTTTATGGTAGTATAGGACCGTTCAACACAGTAAGAAGTAGAGCCATAAACATCAAAAGTTACCAAGGGTATAGTAAAATATGATTTAATGGTACTGAGCAGGAAACCATTACCATTGGGAAATAACATCAGATAATAGTTGAGGGTTTACCATGTGCCAGGCACTAATCTAATTGCTTTAAAAATATTAACTCAATATGATTGAGCCATATTAAAAAAACCATATTAAAAAACCTGTTATATGCTCAGTTTCTCTAGGTGGTTGTCTCTGACTTGGAACTCTTCAGATCTCAGCTTAGATGTCTCTTACTCTGATAGACTTTCTCTGAATCCACAGTTCATATCTGACTGGTTTGGCGCCCCCAGTTATATGCAATACTACCCACAATTGCATAGTGGCTAAGCATGGACTTGGCAGCGAGTCCATGGCTCAAATTCTGAGCCATGTATGCAGATCACTGGATTCAAGCAACAATCTTTCGTACCTTAGTTCACTCATCTGCAATATGGGAACAACAGTTTCTGCCTCACACAAATGTTGTGAGAAATAATATATACAGTACTAAAAGAGTGTCTGGCATATATGGTAAATGTGTCAGGGGTTCTTATTATCAGTACTATGCTGGGTTTTTTTCTACTATAGCATTTATCTTATTTTGCAATTGTCTGACTTATGCTGATCTTAATGAGCTTTAGACAATGAGGAGACAATGTTAGAAGGGTGATTTTGCTTATCACTGTATTATCAGCACAAACCAATGTCCAATTGGGACATATGTATACACATATGTCTGGATGAATATATCTAGAAAATTCATTTATGTGGAATACCTTAGTTCTGATGATTATGTAAGTGAAATAATTATTTTAATACACTAACTCATGGATACTTTAAAAAAGAAGTAACCATTCTTTTTATAGAACAATAACAAATTCTGTACTCATTTTCTTGAAATAGTACCTTCAATAAAATTGAGGTTAAAAATCAGATGAAAAGAAAACAATCAGAAGAAAAGATAAATTAACATACCTGGCTCAGAGCTACAATGCATTCAGTATATTAAAGCAGCTGACATGATGACTTTTTGCGGGCCTTCCCAGGTACTGGAGTTTTTCTGTTAATTTGCCGCACTAGGTCATAAAAGATCTGCAAACATATTATTCTTTTTTTAATATACAGGAGAAGAAAAGGAAAACACACAGAAAAGAAAAAGTAAAATGAAAAAAATTTGAACTTTCCATTATGAACCCCAGATAGCAAATATTCTGTTCAGGTAAGGAATGAGAGTAAAACCAGGTGTTCTTACAACTGCCAAGTTCTTTTCTGTTTGTTTATATTTTGGAAGGGCTACAACTGTTCTCTTTAAAGTAAGTACTGAGTTGAAGGAGCTCCAGGAATCTTGTCTTAGTTAGAACATTTAGTATCATCCAAAGAAAACAATTCTTTACTTTTCTTCAAAGTACCTTTACAACATAACTTTAAGTCCCTTCAAGGCAAGTACCACACGTGCCTTTTTAAATTTGTCTCCATCTTTAATGTAACACCCTTCATATACTGGAAGACATAATGTGTCCTCCCTACCTCTATCACTTTCTGTCCAGTCTTACTTTTCTTCAAGGTAAATTCCACTGTATCAGAATTTAATAAGAAGGCTAAAATAGCATGGCTGCTTATTAATATGCATATATTTAACATTAAGATTTTTGCCTATAAAATCAACAAAGCATCCTGAGTACACATTAATTTGGGGTTGTACTAATACACATGCATTATTTTCCATTAATTTTGAATGCTGAAATCCAAATCAAGTGTTTTTAAAGTTTATTTCACCATACCTCATTAACATTTATTTTTGATTTTGCAGAAGATTCTAAGAATGCACAGTTGTTCCACTGTCTTGCTAGATTTTGACCTTGTTCCTTTCCTACAACTCTTTCATCCTCCAAGTCACACTTATTACCAACCAGAATCATTGGAACCTAAAAATATATTTGTGAGGGTAGAAACAAATACGCAAATAAGTATGTCATATAAATTCAAATCAGAGGAATTCTAAGAGTCAACCCTAAGGATTACATTTTATATTAAGCCAGAGAAAAGAAAAATGCTAAATTAATGCATAATAAAATTTACAATAATGCAGTAAGAATTTACAATAAAAATGTAATAGAAATTTACAGTAATGTTTTGACAGTTAATTTGGCAATGCTAAATACAAAAACCTTAACAATGTTAATTTAAAAACCTTTCATGTGAAATTTTCAGAAAGCAACCTATGATCTCATAAGAGAGGGAAAAAACTCCTTAAAACAATGTTACAATGTACTAAGGAGTAACAGTAAGCAAAACACAAGGCTTTTTTAAAAAATGAAGTACTGAAGGCTGTTACTATGAAAAGCCAATAGATTCCAAAATTTTTTAATGTTTCTTTAAGGATGTGAATCAACTTCAAGTTTTCTGGTTTTCTGATATGCATTTATTGAATAATCACTTTCAATTTCATGACACAAAAAGAAATTTAGAAAGCTCCTAAAGTGGAATTCTTAGTTTCTCAAACAGTTCATATTAAAAAGCCAGAAAAGTAAAATCATCTTAATTTACTAAAAATCTTGACCAAGTCAATCATGTGTTTGGATATATGTGATGTTTGTAATTTTACAAGAACACTAAAGGGATAAATAATACTGAATCTGCAAAACTCCTATTAATCATCTGGAGATTGGCCTTGTAAACAATTTTTGGAAAAAAATCTAAACTAGAAAACCAAGAATTTTGGCATTTTCAGGAACAGATGCAGCTATTATGTATTAATATATACTTGTTTAATGTAACTGAAAGAGAAAAACTATAGTAGTTACCAGAGATAGTAGAAAACATTTATAATTGAGAAATGCTCATTAAGGTTGCTGCAATATGTAGAGTCCCCCAAAGTTCAATGGCATCATTTCCCATAAGTACTTCTGACCTCTCAAAATATTTGATATGAAGAGGAACTAAAATAATCCTCTTGGGGCTTCCCACAGGGATTAAACCCCAATATTGTAGACTCTGAAGGGACATGTACATTAATGTTAGGATCCAATATATCTGTTGGTTTCCTTTTAAAATTATTGTTATTATGCCCCTCTGTCATTGTTGCTTTATCTGTGTTCATAGGTAGCTCTCATTCTTGTCAAAAGGCTCTTAAATCTACCAGGAATGTACCCAGAACATCATTTGCTCTGTCAGTAACATCTGCCACCCACACCTACCCTTTCGCCCCACCAAATACATGACTTAAAAATGGGAAGGGTGTAAGATTTATTCTACACAGGTTAAGGGGACAGGCGGGTATTTCTCACTTCTCATAGTGTATGTATTTGAAAATATGCATGAGCGTTAAAGATATATTTTTGCTTTTCAAGGAAAAATGCTTTTGAAAAACAACCCTCCCAAATACATGAACTTCACTGGATTTAAATTCAAACTTTTAAATTGGGTATCATTACAATAAGGGTTTGATAAGATATTTATTTATTGGGAAGTCAGCTTACATCATCAGTGTCTTTAACTCGAAGAATCTGTTCTCTCAGATCTTGTAAATCATTAAATGTGGACTGTGCTGTGATGGAATAAACTAATGCAAAGCCTTGTCCATTTTTCATGTACAAATCCCTCATTGCTGTAAATTGTTCCTGCAGTAGAAAGAAAAATCATTAAAAAACAATGTTTTGACAGTTAATTTGATAATTTTAAAAGCCTACAATTAGAGTTCAATGAAGAATGTAATATATTATGTAACATTTCTTAAAATTACAGTCCACGGCAAGATGCTACTTGAAAAACTGGTATTTCAAGAAACATTTTTTATTTAAAAATAATAGATCAAATTTATGTGTAATAAATTACTTAAGTTGGACAGAAATATCCTGTCTCCAAAAGCAACTTAAAGGTAGCTTTTTAATATAACACAGTATGTAGGGTACCCAAAGTGAATCCCTAAGTTACTCAGAGCCTGTTCATAATGCTTGAAGGTTCTGTGGGCTCCAGTAGCATGCTTACCTATATCTTGCCATCTTTCCATTTTTTTTCTTTCACTAGATTGTGAGCATTTGAGGGTAAGACAAGTTCATGGCATATACATTAGTTGAGTACCATATATTCAGAATAAATCTTCTTTTCACCTTTGGATACCAACAAATCTAGTTGGTCTGTATGTATATATGTTGAAGGAGACCATTCAAAATACTCTAAATAGTGATGGAGGCATAAATGTATACCCAAGTATTTTTCACGTTATTTAAAATATGCTGATATAGTATTTAACTTTTTAAAAAGCACTAGTGAGACTATGCAAATTTTAATCCACATTTTCTACTAATTTCTTCAGTAACTGACGCAGTGCAATTTACAAAGCACACTGAAGTTACAAAAACATAGAACTAGAAGAAAAACAACTTCAAAATTTAATGCAAGCAGTACTTTTAAATAAACTTAATATTTGTCCAGCCAGCATTTATAAGGTCAATATTGCACAAATTGTGCATATACTTTGGTACTTTCTTAACATACCGTTCCTGCAGTATCCAAGATTTCAAGCATACACTGTTGTGCATCTACTTCAACTTGCTGGGGGAGGAATTAAAATACATCTTCATTTTTTATGTACATAAGACAATCTAAATATACACAAAAAGCTAAGATAGTATTTAAAACTAAGTCATACATTATAGCAAATTAACAATTCATCTCAAGTAATACTAATATAACAGGAGAAAAAAAAAGCTAGATAATCAAAATTCACCAACCCCTAAATTGTATTAGATGCAAAAACCATGTGTTCTCAATTCAACATAAGGATACCTACAAGTTCCAAGCTCAATTATGCATCACTCAACACTTAATTCTGGAGAGGAAATGATTTCAAAATAGCTCAAAAAAAATTTAACTATCCCAATTCTGCTATTCTTTAGATATACCTTCATTTCTCTAGATAACCACATCCCCTTCAGCATATTGGAACAAAATTTCTGGTAACAAAGCAGCAGAAGACAGCTATCAAATAAATTATATAATCCCTGTTACTCATTTTCACCTAACATTTTTTAGGAAAAAAAATTATTTAGAGTGAGATGTGGAAGGAAAAGAGAAACAGTGCCTCAGAGGTGGGGTACAGGAGGGGTTTCTAGTTTTTTGTAGACCATGAGCACAAAGGGAGAAATGGAAACAGTGGCTATACAGCAGCAGGTGGCCAGGCTGGCTGCTACACAAAGGTGGGCTGGAACTCTCCCCCTGCTAAATTGAAAATGTCTGCACATTAAGTTTTATTGTCACATGTGTCAGTGGACACAGAATCTATTATGAGCAATGACACTTTCTCAAGGAGTTGTAAATAGGAATGTTATAGAGACTTTTGTACTTATATCTCTAATTTAAAATGAGGGGAGCCTGAGTATTCAGTTTTGGTTTTGGGGTGGGGAAGGAATATGTAGCTACCAAAGTTTGTGTGTCAAATTACCATCCTGGGGTCAGGACAAACTCTCTGAGAGAGAGAATGAGAGAGCAAGAGCGAGTGTAACATTTTCATAAACTGGAAAACACGCAATGCCAGGAAATAATCAAGTGTGAACTTCCCTACTAATTTTATAAATTTACTCTGCCTCATCCTATTTTGTAAACAGGATTTAATAATTGTAAAGTTAAAAACAATTTACAGTAAAGTCTAAAGCACAAGGACTATGGAGTGACATATACCTTTCTGTAAGAATCTTCTATTGTAGGGTCATATTTTTCAACAAAAATTCCTTGAACAAACTGGACAGTCTGAAAAAAATTAAGACACCATTACACTTCTAAAGAAAAGAACAAATTCAAATCTGTACATTTTAAACTACTCATTCACACAGACAGTTATGCAGTTGGTGAAAAAACACTACTACATTTGAATGTATGCATTTAGTGAGAAAATTACCTCCAAAAGCCTTTAAAAAAAAAAATCAATAATCACTATGCTCCTTTTTAGGTAATGCTAATTTTAGAGATCATAAGGACTTAAATTTGAATTTTAATTAGAAAGTGGTTAATTGTTTTGTGTACACATACACGCACACTTGAAGATACCTCCCCATCACTTTGGATATATTTATAAATGAAAATGAAAAAACAGCTCATGCCTTGTTGCACATTTTGTTTGATCTAAGCATGCTTGTTTGTGCTGGGCAATCAGTCTAAGTGGCCAAGTGAGATGGTCAATCTGTTTTATTATTGTGGAGCTTTGCTAAACTTTGAACTATTCAAGTTATTTTCCCTACACTTCTCCCCTTTCCCACCCATTGTCAAGTTGCATCTTCTTTCTTGCTGTACTATTTCTTGATACAGAAAACATGGCTGCTAAAATTATGCAAAACTGGACGAAGATAATATTCAAAAAAAGGTTTTTTATAAGCTTTGTTATTTTCTAACATTACATACGTATTATAAGCCAACTCACAGTGAGAAAGAACCAAAATTCATTTGTATCTGGCTCTGAAATGCAGACATGCATTTATATGTTCTCATGTTTTGTGCTTAGCCCAAACTGTATTCTGGCTAAGTATCTCACGTTGGTTTGAAACCAATGTCCCAAAGAGAGAGAATGATTTTCCCAGATCCAACCAAAAGTTGATTAAAACTAGAAAAATACTATGTTGCTTCTAAAATCATTATGCGATTTCACCTTAACAAATGAAGACAATAATCAAAACCTGAAACTCAACAGAAAAAGAACGTCTTGGAGTGAACAGCTTAAGTACACTGAAAATGACTCACCAGAGCAGACTTTCCAACGCCTCCCGAGCCAAGAACAACTAGCTTATACTCACGCATGGTGCAAACTTGTCAAAAACCAGTACCTTAAAAAAAACAAACAGAATTTTTAAGTAGTATCTTTGTATCTGTGTGCTTCTTATGTAAGTAAGGCATTCAAGCAAATATTTATATAAAAAGATTACTATACAATACTAATATGGCATTCTATAAACAGACTTACTAATTGATGCTATTGGTAGGTTTTTGTAACACATCAGATGTAGAAAGAAACTATGGGATTACATGTGACTTTCAGCTAAATCATAAATTCAACTAGAATAAAATGTTTATTAAGAAAAAGGTGGGGGGACTGAAAAACAGCACAAACTGGTATTCTGCTGGTTACAAGATAGCAAAACACGTTTACCTCCCCCCTTCCCTGAACCACTTGTAACCTTACGCCCCTACTAAGTACAGGGATATACCTAAGAAACAACAAAAAAAATTCCTGCCCTCATACAGCTAATATCCTAGTAAAGATGAACAGCATAGGGCTGCAAACAAATCCAGCCCACCGCCTGCTTTTGTACACAAAGTTTTCTTGAAATAGAGCCATGCCTGTTTATTTGTGTATTGTCTGTGGCTGCCATCTTGCTGTTAAGGCAGAAGTAAGTAGTTACAACAAAGGCCATCTGGTCTGCAAAGCCTATTTACTATCTGGCACTTACAGAAAAAATTTGCCAACCCCTGGGATACCCAAATGGTAAATGAGTTAGAGAAAGCAATACAAATAATATATTCCCAAAAAGGGAGGAGATACAAAGGGCCTGAAGATGGCTACCGAGGGCTGAATATAATCAAACAGTGACAATAGAAACAAAACCAAAAACAAACAATGCATACCAAAGCTTATCACTGTAAAATTTAGTATACAAAGAACAGAGAAAGAAGATCTTAAAAGTTTCTAGGGTAGGGAACATGACAATACAAAGCTCCCACATTTCTAGAAAAAAAAGGTTGGTCATAATGGTGATGGTACAGAAGTAGCCACCAAAATAGGTTTTAAACGTTTTTAATTAAGAAACAGCAGTTCTTAAGTCATAGTAACAAGTAACTCCCAGAACTGTTTTAAATACATTTAATGAACCAATAACCATTTGCCTCAGTGAATATGCTTCTGCAAACTAACCAATTAACCACAGCCCCCTACTTGTTACTTCTGAAATCAAGAAAGGACTTACTTTGGCACAAAGTATCTTAATCTCTCTCTCTCTCTCTATATATATATATATTCACACACATAGAATGGCAAAGAAGTCATCAAAAAGTGACACAGGCCAGCTACATAAAGGATAAAAGAATTCAGGGAGATGAGTCTAATTTTATTTCCTCCCAGTCCATACCTTTAGAGAAGATATCCTCTGTTTTACCTCTTTCTCTAAGCCATTCCTTTATTTCTTCTTAAGATGTCATGTCTAGTGCCATGGGCTTTCTTTCAGAACTTTCTCCTTCATTTCCGCCTTTAAATACATGGACTATCTAATGTATTACCTGTGCCGAATGGGGGAGGGAACCCCAAAAACCAAACATACACAAAAAAACTTAGCTCACTTTTCCACTTACTATTCCTATTATTTTATTTCTAAACTTAGAGAACCCATCTTTCCCATAGACTTTTCTCCAGTTCCTGAACACTGTATCTTTGCCTTTTGTAAGTGTATAGTTCTTACTAGATTGTAACTGTAGGAAAAGAGGTATGAAATAAAAGTTCAATTGAACTTTCTGCCTTAAGAATATTACCCATTGTAGTAAGCATATAAATTTGGGACATATAAAGAAATCACTCTGTAAAATATAACTGAAGCCAGGTTTATTTCTCTTAATGTAAATAATTTAAAAATAGGATCACTTAGGCACCAATTCTATTACTGGTGTCATGCAGACATTATCCAACCACTCTATACTGATCTATTTGAGAAATATTTTTAAAAACTTAGGGTTGTAATGAGAGACGCTTCCAAATTTGTGTTTCTGAACCCAGCCAGAGGGAACGTGGTAACTCTGGGGACCAGTCTTTTCTAAACATCCCAAAGAACAAACCACAACTTAAACAGAAATAAAATTTGACTCATCTCCCTGCATTCTTTTATTCTTTATGTGGCTGACCTGCGTCACTTTTTGATGACTTCTCTGCTGTTTATTTCTATAACTTACGAAATAAAACACCTCACTTCAACACATACACACTAAAATGCTAACTAAACTGTGTCGCTTGAGTGATAGTGCTTCCACAGTTGACATTAACTCCTGCTTCTGAAAGTTTGTCAATCTTTGAACTCTGAAATTTCCTAAAACCCTGAAAGACTAAGCAGTCTGTCTGCTCAGGAAAGGCGGTGTCTGACTGGGGTAGCTTTTCCTTAAGTAATCAGTAACTTCACCTTTGTGTTTTTTGTTTAGATAATGAATGGTGGCTCTTATTCTTTGATAGTCGGTCTACGACTCTCACCTGGCATCATTCCAAATGATGCCCATAGACAAACAAGTGTACTGAATGAGCTGCTTGTATCCAACTTGTTTGTTCTTTGAGTTTGCTATCAGATGAGTCAGTCTCAACAACGATGGGAGCTCAAATTGGTTCCTTGAGTTCACACTGATAAACTTATTTTGTTGTCCTACGATTTGTACCAAGTAGACTGTATAAATAAGGCAATTAGACCTTTGGTTTTGGCTTTGAGGTGTACTATTTGGTGAGTATTTTTGTCATTAGTATAATTCTTCAGCTACTTGCTTTGTTCTGCTCATCTGTTGTGCAAAATCTTGTCTCACGTTTTTCTTATCCTGGACTGTTTTGTTCCCATTCACTGAATAAGGGAGCACTCCATCTGGAATGGATGGAGGCATAGGCCCAATAAGCCTCCAAACCAATTCAGGCAAAGATGAGTGAGTGGTCAAGCTTCACCTTGGGTCACTTAAAAATAACCTTCATGATGGCATATAATTAGATCAATAACTGTGTGCTATGTGGCCCCTTCCTAACTTCTGCTTGGTGAAGGAAACTGATTGTCTGTCTGTAAGGGCATGTTTTTTTTTTTTTAAGCACTCTTAAATAATTTTTATTTAGGAATAATTCATATCCAGTGAAACAAGCAGATCTTAACCATCACAATCAAATGAGTTTTGACATATGCTTAAATTCTCACAACTGACGAACACAGCCCTCATGAAGATTTAAAACACTTCCATCACCCAGAAAACTTCCCAATGTGCCTCTTCCCAATTAACCTGATACCCTTCTTTATCTTGACTTGTGACCTCTTCTCAACCTTTAGGAAGAACATTTGTGTCTTTTGTAAACTCCCAATATACTCTTGGCTCCTCTTGTATTTACATTGGTAAATGACAAAAATTGTGACTTTGGCAACTGTGTCTTAAACTGGATTTACGGCCAACTTTTGAAATGTCCAAATTAATACTTATGAGGAGCTATAACTATAGAAAAAAATTGAGACAAAATAACATTTAATAATCAGCTCCTTTAATTGTTATTCTGGGATATCAAAATAAAATGACTAAGATAGATAGTCTCTATGTCTCACCTGCTTGAATGTTTGGAAACCTACTCTCTTCGAATTGTTCTATTTATATTACCCACATAATCCTATTTCTCTGCTCCTTCCCCTTACTTCTGAAATGAACTACCTTTTTTTGAGGGTTTCTCAAAAGGAACAATTATACCAGCTCTTCAAATGCTAGAGAATGCAGAGCTATAGAAATAGAATTCAAACACTAGTCTAGAACTTAGCTGAAGTTATGTTTATGGATTTTCCTAAATTTCAGGAAGACTGACAGAAGTTTGTTGTAGAATTCCAACTAAATTACCAATTACTTAATTTCTTCTCTTAAAGAAACATGGTTAAAAGCAGGATAGTAAAGACCAAACACAAATAGCCCAGAATATTTAAAAACGGGCTTGAAAGAATAAGAAGCTATTTAGGAGATACTCTACTTCAGAAGTCTTTCTTACAGGTAGATGGTCAAAATTTAAAATTGTAAACAAAATAAAATTTGACTTCAGGAAACTTTAAAATATCTAAGAGAGAGACAATAGCTGAGGTAAAGGGAGACATGTTCCTTCTTTCTGTAAATGAGCTCAGACCTGAACAGGAAACTTGAAATGGAAAATCTGTAATTTAGAAAATCTACAATGGCTGAGTATTTTCAGAGACTTACAAAGTAAACACGCTAGAATCCAAAAGGTCTTTCTTTTCTAAGGAATGAGAGCCTATGGATGAGGACACTTGTATATATGGCTAGAAGAGCCACGGGAAGAATGAATGTCCCATGTTTACTAAGAAACAGAAGTAGAACAATCCAAAATTTGTCCCACAATGTTGCCCCAAGGAAAACATGAGCACTCAATAATTCCCTGCCCTTTCTCCACTCTGGGTGGGAACAAACTGACTACGTAGAGTCACCAGAGAATTTTGGGGGATAATGCAAGTGTTCTATAACTGGTTCTAGTGATGACTGCACAACTATATAAAGTTACTAAAAACTCAAACCAAAAACATTGACACAACTAAGTCAACAAAAACTAAGTCAATAAAATTACCATTTAAAAAAACTGACTATAAAAAGTAGACATCTATGGGAATTTCATTTCTTAATGACATGGTTGGGACCTGTTTTCCCAGATGCTTCACTTACCCATAAATGAGTACTACTTGTTGCTAGAATGAGTCAGGTTCATCCATATTATTGCTTCTATCAGTAATTTGTTTTATCTCTTTTGATCGATAAAAAAATACCTCTATTGTACACATACACGACGTTTTCTTTACACAGTAGCTGATGGGCATTTAGATTGTTTCCGGCTTGTGGATATTATTAACAATGCTCATCAATTTGTTTTAATTTTAGTAACTCAACAAGTATTTTCTTCTACAGACCTATGGTCATAGGAAATATAAAACATTTCAAACTGTGATGTAGAGAAACATGATAAATTCATCAATAGACCTTCAAATCTAAAAACAGTGACAAAACAATTCTAACTCACCAATAAGCAGCTTTCTAAAACAGGGAACACTGGTAAGAAGGAAAT